AAATTCGATTTCATCTAGTTGAGCATCAAGCAAAATCATCAGTGTGCACTTTAATTTTATGCATTTTCAAACAGATTCTGAAAGAATATAGGATATATGCAGCACTCAATCCAAGCAAATGGTTCTTCATTGCAAAACACGAAGTATTTTGTAGAATGTAAACGGACTGTCACTCCAAAATCAGCCACTGCTTGCGGATGGAATGAGATCATTGATGCAGCAATTAAAAGAAGTGATCGATCGGATCAAGAGAAATCCAACCGAAAAAGAACTCTGGGTCTTGGTTCTCGGAGTTTCACCACTCCACCAACGCTTATGATATATTCTCGAGATAAGCCAAAATCTAGAATGTGAATTATTCGTGCTTCTTTTCCTCGTCTTCCAACAGCTAAATTAGCCGGTTTCACGTCACGATGTATGAATCCAACCTGAAAATTTTTGAGCGATTACTAGCACTCTGGAACAGTGAATCCCGTCGCCACTGCATCGATCTCCGCNATACTCGACGATCGACACAATTAAACGTACTGAACACTGCGCTTTGTTTCAAAACATTAAATAATATGGTCAATTGTTCAAATTAATAAGTGAATAAATAAATAAACGAAACAGTATTTCATTACTAATGGAAAATATCAGACAATAAACAAAACATTCAAACGAAAGCAATAATTCCAAATCAAATAAATCATACAGCAATGCAAATGAACCTCATGTAATTGTTTTATACCGTACAACATATTGATACCAACTCTGACCTGTGTTGATGTACTACATTGTCCACACTTCCGCAGAAGACAGTTCAGTGAATGACCAAATAATGTCATCACCATATATGAATAACTGAAACTGCCATCGAATAAACAAAGAGAAAACACTCGAAATTCGCAATGTCCTTTTCGAACGGTTCACCGAATGATGGCCGATTCAACGCAGCTGCTCATTTTCACTCATAATAATTATTCACTAATTACAGCCCGATTCGATAACTATTCGGGAATCAAGTCAGATAATATTTCTTCGCATATTCAGATAATAATGTTCAGACAATAATAATATCAGATAATAATATTCATAATATAATTCTACGAAGTTATGTCGCAAGCATTAGATTGATCTGCTGCTCAACGCACAAATCTCAAACTGCAGTCAAATGCAGTCAGCACCTTTCTGGCTCCACGAATTTGTGCCAGTCAACTGCTCAGCTCGGACATTGTTGCAATTGGGCACTTAGAATTGTTTATCTCTAGAATTTCAAATGAGTTTTGTGTACACCCGATACTTTAGAATAGCCTCTTCGCATTGCTTCATCGAGAACAAGGCCAAAGAGGTTATCTTCGGTGGATTCTTAATATTTGTCACCGACACATCAATCTGACCATTTTTTACTCAAAAATTTTCACTTACGTCGACTTCTTTGCAGCTTGAAGCAATTGTGCAATATACGGCCGTCCTTCTAGTCGTCGTAATATCTGAATAAATTCGGGATTCATTTAGTCAACAGATCGTTGATGTGCTCATTTGATTGTTCTCAAGGATGCCAAAAGGAACATTCCGGACTTAAAATTATTAGTCAACAAACAACCATTGCCCACCTGTACTTCTAATTTCAGAACACTTCCACCAGCAACAAAATTCGATTCTGCTTTAAGTGCTGCCTGAAATCACTGCATTGTGTTTTGATTTCCATGAGAGACTTTCAGTATGGATAAAGTGAAGAAATAGAACCAGAAGCAGTGGCGCTCGATGTTTTGTAAGTTAAAACATTGTTACTGCTCAATGATAGCTTTCGATGCGTACTTTAGCATATGTTTGTATATCTTGAACTTTAAACACTGCACCGCAACCACCTTCACCGAGTTTCTCCAAGATTTGCCATCGTTTACCCACAATTCTTCCAATATCTAAGTCGACCGGTCCTTCGTCGCTCATTGGAGTAACACCTAAAAGCTGTTCTGGCATATGATAAGATCGCTTGATTACATAAAATAGTTTTTTTCTGAATTAATGGTGATGATGCCACTCGTATATAAATGCTGGCCTATTTATACAGAAATATATAGAAACTCCTGTATATATAGGAAAGCACATATATGTTGTTTGGCTCTCCTAAAGACTCTCCGGTGCATCCTTTTGATAAATGAGAGTCAGTCGAGTCTAGGACAGAATCACATTGTAATCCTAAAACTATATCAGCACGCGACGCTGAAATCATGCAAAAAGAAATCTGCAATCGAAGGATAAGAATCAACACTTTGCATGAAACATTGGCATTCCCTCATAACACTGTATTCTCCGGATTCTCTAGTTTCGGAAAAGTATATATGCCGTCACGCCATTTTGCTTAGGTTCAGAGAAATAGCTAATTTTATGAATGTATTATACCTCAAGTAGCTCGGCAGCGGTCCTTTCAATACATTGTATCACTATTGATCAATGCGCACATTACTACAGGAGCATTAGGGTGACCATCTTCAAACTAACCGTCTCCTCAGGTTTGCCTAGTAACATGTCAATTTCTTTACACGATTAGTTTCCCCAGATTCTCTGCTTTCAGAAATTTATATATGTTGTCGAGCGATTTTGCTTACTTCAGGAGATATAGCTGATTTTCTGAACATATGTCAACTAGCTGGGCGACGCTCGTTTCGATGCATTATATCACTATTGATCAATCAGCGCATTACCTCAGCAGTATCAGAATCACCATTTTCAAACTTACGCTGTCCTCAAGTTTGCCAAGAAACGTAGTCGTTTCTTAAAATCATTGCATTCTCCAAATTCTCTAGTTTCAGAAAAGTGTATATATTGTCGAGCGATTTTGATTATGTTCAGAAAAATGGTTTGTGGGATT